AGGTTGTGGCATGAGCCTAAGCTGTTGCAGCAAGTACCATATTCTTCTGTGGCTACTGAAGAACAAGTGACTGTTATTCATGTGGGGGCGGGAGGGTATCGTGCTGAAGAACAGCAGTAGAGCCCAGCAAAGATCAGAAGCTTGAGAAAAGTTTCTCATGCCATCACCCAGCACAAAGCTCCCTTGGGCAGTATCAGGGCTGACAGGAAGATCTAGAAGAGACAGATATAAAGTTGAAAGAGAATGGAACAAACCTTTAGGGTAGGCTTGAAGCATAAACGTCTATGGATTCAAATCATATAGTTTTCCCTGCACTTTTTCCAATAAAATCAGTTGTTCGTAAATTATTCTTGTATTCCTGATGTACTAAAATGTTGAAAGTTTCATATTGTGTGGAAAGAAGGGAAGGAAGGAAAAGGGAAGAGAAGGGGAGGGGAGGGGAGTGGGGGGGGGAGAGAAGGGATGGGGAGGGAGAGGAGATAAAAGCCACTGCTTGGGCTTTGGGGATTTAGTTCTTTGTGACCAAGGAGGACATGTGTCACGTTTGCTGCTTATGATTTTAAGTCCCTCAAATTGTCACCCCTGAGTTGACGTTTACATGTTTCAGGAACCCAGTTACCTTGAAAATGAGATGTTCAAGGTGCTATGTGTACCTTCTAAGCTGAGCCAAAGCCCTAAATATTCTTTTACGGCAGCCATTATTTTTAAAATACTCCCCCAAGAACAGCTAACCATCCAAGAACGGAAGTGGGACAGCATCAGAAGCAATTGCTGCAGTTCACAGACAAATTTAAAGCTTAGCACTGCATTTTAGTCTTAGAATAGATATTGAGCTATTTGTTAGAAGGGCTTTTGTTTCCTCCTCTTGAAAATTGCAGTACCTTATTCTGCAACTTATTTTACTCCTGAAGAAAGTCTAAGATATGATGTAATTAAGTCAAAACAGCAAATACACACCATCTATAGAGCATTATTGTTAATAGTTTAATCTCACTCTAACCAAACCTTGGACCCTAGCTATCAGTTTACAGGAAATAGAAAGTGTCATACAGAGTCCAGAATGGCCCTATGTGATTCTTCCCCATGTGCTCAGAGCCTTGAGTAATCCAATCCTGAGTAACCTGCTTCTAGCCAGTAGAACAGATTAATGTTGCATAGATGTCACTTCTGTGATTGGATGATAAACATGGGTCCTGCTAGCTAGCATTCTTCTCTTGCTTTGATGAAGCAAATTGTCATGATGGTGAACAAAGGATAGTTTTCTCCAGCCAACAGGGATTTACAAAAACCCAAGTCCAAAAATCCAAGAAGAACCAACCACCAAACACATGAGCTTGAAAACTGACTGTTGCTATGCTGGTTAGTTGTTACTGACATGACACAACTTAGAGTCACCTGGGAAGAGGGAACCTCAATGGAGGTATAGCTTAGATCAGATTGGCTGGAGCCATGTCTGTGAGATTGTTTTGACTGGTGACAGATGCAGATGGGCCTAGCCCACTATGGGTGGCACCATCCCCAGGCAGGTGGGCCTGGACTGTGTAAGAAAGCTGGCTGAGGAGTTGGAGAGATGGCTCAGCATATAAGGCCTCTTGCAGAGGACCCAGGTTCCATTCCCACACTGACATTGGGCAGCTCACAACTGCTTGTAACTCCAGCTCCAAAACCATTTTTTGGCCTCCATGCACACCTGCATTCACGTATTACACATATTTACTCAGGTACACTAAAATCTTTTAAAATAAATCTTAGAAAGCTAGCTGAGCACGAGTGGCTCAGAGAGCCAAGAGGGAGCCAGCAAGCAGCTTTCCTCAATGATTCCTGCCTCCAGCTCCCTCAGTGATGGATTGTGGCCTGGAAGTGAAAGCCAAATTAGCCCTTTCCTCCACAGGTTGCTTGTGGTCATGGTGTTTATCCTAATAGCTGAAAAACTAGCCAAGTCAAGTCCTTCGATAAGAGCCTAGTTTTTGTTGATGCCTTAATTACAGTCTCATATGACATAAGGGAGATTGAATTAGCACCTGTGTCCAGATCCCAACGTGTGTGCGTGTACATGCGTGTGTGTGTGTGTGTGTGTGTGTGTGTGTACATTTGGGGGCTGGTTGGTTTGCAGTTCTGGGATTGAGAACCTCTGTATGCGAGGCAGGCACTCTCACTGGGCTACACCACCAGCCTTTTTTTTTTTTAATTTTTAAAATTAAAACTATTCTTTGACAATTTCCTATGTATATGTAATGCATCCTCACTACACACCCCTACACCGTATCCCTCTTCCACCCGATCACCCCCTTCTCCCTATAAATTCCCCTCCCACTTTCATGCCATTTTGGTTTGTGACCTACTGGGTTTAATCAAGGCTGTCAACATGAGCGTGGAGTTCCAGTGGTACCTTGCAGGCTCACCAGTGGCTACATCACTAACTGCCCCCCACCCCCCACCTAGTACCCACCAGAAACCAATGTTCCCCAGGAAAATGTAGAGGCCCACGAGTTCCTCCCCAACCCATTATATCAGCTGACGGGCCCAGTCATGTACAGGTCCACTGCAGGCAATTGCCTCATGACTGCAAGGTCTTATGCCCTTTTCCACATCATCTGCCTCATCTTCTTTCCACTTTTTCTGTTCCCTGAACCTTGCAGGGAGTCGTATAGATGTCCTGTGAAGGGCTAAACACTCAACAGTCACTTGTTCTCAGCACCGTGAGCAACCATTCACTACAAAAAGCTCTGATCAAACATGACAGCAGCATTTGTCTATGGGTATAAATATTTAAAAAGCAGTTGACACATCCATTTTGCAAAACAGGAGTCAGCCCCCCCCCCGCCCCGGAGGGGCCTATAACCTCCCAGCCATTGGCTTTTCACTGGACTTACAATACAGGTATGAATTCTCTCCTGTGGGGTGTTTCTCAAATCCAGAGAATGGTCATTTACTCTCCTAAAAGTCATGCCACCACTGCACCAGTGGCACGTTTTGCCTGGCAGGTACTGTAGCACATAAGGTGCACTGCTGGGTAAGCTCACTGATGGCATTATGTTGTTCTAAGCCATTACATTTTGGGGTAATTTATTAAGTTTAGGAAATGTTTTACAAATGAGAAAGGTGGGGTACTCCCAAGTATTTTAAAGAGGGACTGTGCTATGTAAGAAATCAGACATCCAAATAACTATTATAATTAGTAAATCCTGATTAGATCCTTTTATAACAAAATTATACTAGGTGTTTGTTTCTAGGGCAAATGAGACTAGATATTAGATGTTATGAAATTACTAGGTTTTTGTTCTTGGTATTGAGATGGAGTCTATGTATCCCTGGCTGGCCCAGAATTCACTAGTAGACCAGGCTGGCCTGGAACTCAGAGATCCACCAGCTTCTGCCTTCCAAATGCTGGGATTAAAGGTGTGCGCCACCAAGCCCGGCCCTAAATTAATAGTTTTGTGTGGTATTCGTTTATGAAAAATATTCTTTAAAGATGCTTATGTGTATGCCTGTATTCATAGAAGACACATAGTGAAATACTTAGTTGATGCAAACATAAAATTTATTTTTATGTGATTTCATAGGTTTAGAGAAAGCATGAATGATAAAGATTGTAGAATGAATCTAGTCTGTGACAGCAATGGTTGGGCCTAACAATTTTTTTACATTATGGTGGCATGAAAGCAGAACCCATCCAGTAGAAAGCCTCCTTCAGATCTTGAACTTTTCTTAAGTTGGTGATATGTAGTAAGGTGTTCCATTATACAAGGCAGTGGCAATGTACCACTGCTACTACTTAGCATCACAGTAAACAATTGGTACTCTACAGCATCCCATGTTGCTATGGTGTTCAGTACGTTCAGCGTATTGCATGTGCTTCCAATTTAAGGTACTTTAGGTTTGTGGTAGATTTTGTGGGGGACTTAACTCCATCAAGGAGTAGCTTTAGTTTGCAAGTCCTTGAAGGGTCTCTATACTTTCAGCTTTTATGAACATTAGAAGGAAACTCATGGGGCAAGTAATGATAAACAAAAGGTCTTTGCCTGTAATTTTTAGAGGCAAGTGCATCAGGAATTAAGATTAGAAAATATTTTTTATTTATTCACTGAACTGGGAATTGAACCCTGGACTTTGTGCATGATAATTAAGTGCTCTACTACTAAGCTACATCTCCAGTCCTGGAAAGTATTATTATTAATTATTATTTTGGTCTTTTTTAGGAAGGCAGTTTTTTAAAAGACTGAGTAACACTTTTAATCCTGAGTGGGTAACCTCTCTTTCCAGACCTCTATGAAGGTATCCCTCTTGGAATCCCTCCACTTAAAAGAAAGAAAGAAAAAGACCTATAGGAAAGATGACATATCACAAATGGCCCTCTTCACCTTTTTTCCTCACAAAGTAACAGTATAATGCAAAGTGGTAAAGTTCTAAGAAGCTACTTTCCACTCTTACCCCATAATTACCATTATCTTTAAAAAGAATCTATCTTTAGCTATGTCTGTTCATCATTTGTGAAACTAGACTAAAAAATAATTAAATCACTGTGCATTTATACATTGCCATTAAATCAAACTCAGCTGGTCATAAGAAAACCACAATATTAACATATCTAAGAAAACAAAAATAATATTTATGAAATGCAGATAACTTACTTCTCTTTAGACAATGGAGTTTCAAATGCAATGTGAAATACATTAATCTGGAGTTGTCCTAGTGGGGTGGATTTAGACACAGATATCAGTCTAAAAATTGCCTATTAATTTGACGCACCAATTCTACCTATAAAATGTATCCCTAAGGAAATAATAACTCATGAGATTTTTTTTCGGTCTTTTTTGAGACAGGGTCTCCCTGTAGCCCCAGCTACCCTGGAACTTGCTATGTATACCAGGCTGGCCTTGAACTCACAGAGATTGGCCTGCCTCTGCCTCCCAGTGCTGGGATTAAAGGTGTGTGCCACCACGCCCGGCACTCATGAGATTTTTTAAATAGCACTGCTTGATAATAAAAATGGAAAAGTGTAAGATAATAAGAAATTGGTATATTAATATAACGAAATATTAAATCAGGTTACTGAACAGGGCAAATGATACACTTATGTGGTTAGGATTACAAGCAATGGGGTATGTGTACATATATATTACTAAATGAATGTTTATATTCAAGAAACCATATTAAAAGAATTATTAAAAAGTTTAAAAAATCTTTAAAACACCATTTAACAGGTCTTTCAAATGAGGTTTTTTTTTTCTTTTTGCTAAACTGTACAAGTAATAAAAGTTGTTATAGAAGGACTTACACAGTGATATGAAATAGAGTATTTGCAATCTGCCACCACTTACAGTTTGAAGAATAAACTCATTCCTAAACAAGATTACATCTAATCATTATTCAAAGGTCCCCAAGCTTTCTAAAATTGTACTTCAAACTGCATGCTAGATTGTACATATTAACAAACAGTGTATTATAATGGAATCAGGCTAACTTTAAGTTTTGCCATTTAATTTTGATGTAATCATTTAAACCCAATTCAACAAAAAGGAAAGCACAAGTATATAATGGACCTGCAAACAGAATATTTAAATTCCAGGTAAGCAGAGGAAGCTGCACTTTCATACTTAGAAGGTACATAGCCCCATTTACATTTTATTCACTCCCTTCTGAAATTCCACAAGTTTTTTCTTGGTTTAATCTAAATAATCACCTTTTCTTTCCCTATTGGAAAAAAAAATTGTCCTTCTAGACTATAATGTGGCATTAAGTGAGGACAGCCCTTGGTTCCTCACACCATTGATGTTGAGAATGCTGTTCACTATTTTAGGCAAAGTCCTTGTGAAATTTTTTTTCCATATTTATAATGGAACTACTGGGGCTGGGAATGCAATTCAGTTGGTACAGCTTCCCCAGCGTGCACCTGGATTTGATCCCTAGAACTGCAAAACAAACACTAAACAAAACACATACACACAAAACATAAATACATTTCTCTTAAGAAATCAGGTTATCATAGATATGATAAACTGTCAGTTAGTGGATGGTCCTCCTTTGTTTCAGTTGCCAGGATACTTGGGAAGAACATGTGGCTTCCTCTCTAGGCATCTGTGTCATGCAGGTGCTTTGTGCTGTTACCTTGGAGTGGTCTTGGTGTTCCTTCTTTTCTCCTATCATGATTCATTGCATTATCTTTCCCACTTTGAAAACAGATGTAACACCACCCTTTCCATCACAGCTGGTTTGAGAAGTAAATGGCAAAGCACAGAACGTGCTGCCAGGACCATTCTAAAATACTAAATACTAAAAATACTAATTTCACAAGACAGAGTCTGAACTTTTAAGTCTGATATATGCTGTTTGCAAAACCACCTAATAAAAGTCAACAAATTCGAAATTTGTTTGAAATAATTTAAATTATTTAGAAAGTACAATCATATCAAAATTGAAATGAAAAATAAAGTTCCTGCAAATAGTAATGGGCAAAAGAAACGAAATAAAACTTGTATAGAAAATGACCAAAAATAAACAATTAAACATCAAAATCAGAGTGGAAAAAGAAGTGACTTCATATAGTGAGATCAGCAACCTTAACCAATAATCACTCAAGGCCTCATCTGTCTGAACTGTTAGGAGATAGAACAGCTCACCAATTGGCATTTTTTTTTCATGTAAAATGAAGCATCAAAGATGGTACTTTATATTTACAAATGACTCAAGAAATTAGTGTACGTTTTTCAATTTATAATTTATAACAAACTTAATTTTAAAAAATTTCAAGTAAATCCAAAAAGAAGGCCTTGGGATGGATCAGTGCTAGTCAAAGAGTCCAACAGCAGGGGCGAACTCACAAGAAGACCGTCAACATTTCACAGCATGTTATACAGACTTAGAAGCAAAGCCCTATGTTCTCCCGAGTGACTAAAATAAAGAAAATGCCACTATAACTGTGCTGTTACTGATTGTTGTTCTTTCTTCATTTCTTTCTATACCCTTGAAAACCTACCCCATTATATAGGAAAGTCTCACAGTTCATCAGTGCAAAAACTTTATTTATAATTTGTTTCTCTTCCACGCACTTTACAGGATCTGAACTTAATCCACAGTTTTTTTTTTTTTAAACATCTTCAATCAGTCATGTAAAATGTGAAAAAAATACCCCACTAGTCAACTTGAAATCTCCGCTCCTCTCCCCATTGCTACAGCAAATTTAGGATAAGTCTACAGCACTCACTCACTTTAGCTGGTTCTGATACTGAGGTGTATTTTTTTATCTGAGAATCAACACCTAAGGACCTGGCTAATTGTACAGCATTTGAATCTTCACTGATAAGTGTTCCAAGAGCCACAAGCAGTCTAAAAGTGGCTTCTAGGTCTTGTACAACTTCCAAGATTGTGCTAATTACTGACAAGCATTGAGCTTTCCCTTCAATGTTATGGTCTTTATGGAAGCAAACAGAATAATTCAAGGCCAATGTAGCCAGAGCAATATGAATGTTCTTATTGCTCCCTGATTTCAGTTCTATTGCATGGGACATCAGTGACTCCCTCTGAGACATCATGAGCTTTTGTCCTGCCTGACTAACAAAACAATTGCAAAAAGTCCTAAGAGCAAGCAGCTGGTTTGCTGGCTTTCCCTGAGGGTTCAGAAGGTTGATGAGATGACTGCTGAACTGAGGCCCTTCCTTTTCATTGCAGAAGTTCTCATTCACACTGGGATGTTTAATTGACAGACGAAGAATATCAAGTGCAGGAAACACAATATCTATTAAAAAGAAAATTTCATTAATGTGTATGAAAATCTACAAGATTCCTTATGGCTATTATTCAAATTTACACTACAAAATGAACACGTGATCGTTTTAGAAAACATGAAAAATGTTAACTGCTCTAATTCATTTACTTAGACTGGATTTATTGCTATGTACTTTGAAAATGAGGTAACTCTCTCAGGTTATCAAATAGCCTGAGACACAGTTAAGTATTTACTAATGAACTGAATGAATTGCAGTGAGGACCTAATTAAAGCAAAATTTCTTCAGAGAAGTCTAGCTGACAAATGCTGAGAGAATCCTCACATAGTAGGACATCTGTGATTGATGGCTGGGCAGACACCATCTGAACATACATACTGAGCAATCTTACCATGACTTTAAGTGAGGAAACCTGACAGGTGAGCACACAATACAAAGACAGCCAGAACACTTTTAATCCCAGCACCTGGGAGGCAGAGGCAGGTGGATCTCTGTGAATTCGAGGTCAGCCTGGTGTACATAGCAAGTTCCAGGCAGCTGGGGCTACATGGAGACCCTGTCTCAAAAAGACCAACAAAAAAGACAGCCAGCACATCTATTATAAAAGATCTTCACATATATCAAAATAAACCAAAACCCCTAATAAACCAAAGTCCAATTATGCCACCCAAAGGAAATACAGAAACAGATGTTAAACAATTGGCTGAATCTATAATATGGGAAATTTAAAATTTTTTTAAATTTATTTTTATTTTGTGTGTATGAACGTCATGCCTGTATGTGTGTAAGTGTACTCATGTGGTGCAGTGGCTGCAGAGGACAGAAGGCGCTGGACCCACTGAAACTGGAGGTATGGACGGTTGTTAGCCACCATGTGGATGCTGGGATTCAAACCCAGGTCTTCTGCAAGAATAGCCAGTGCTCTTAACTGCTGAGCCATATCCCCAATATGGGATATTTTGTAGAGAAAAAAACAAGTGTTTTTCCAATAAATTATTGTCATGGAAAAAAATAAAAAACCCATGAGGGAGAGGACACTTTTTTTTTTTTTCAAAAAAATGTTAGTGACATAAAAGGGGGGATGTATAGCAAGTCTTTGTGCACTAGAGTTAACAGGTGAGGGTAACAGATGTTCTGACATTGTGGAATTATGTTAACAGTTCCAAAACCTAAAATATGAAACCTGAAGATTTTCAGCACCAGATACCAAAAGTATTTCTGATTTGGAGTTTTCAGATTAAGGATGTTCGACTAGCAAAGTCAATGGAAATTTCAAACTCTGGGAAAACTCCCAATTCTAAAACACTTCTGGCTACAAGAACTTCAGATAAGGGATGCTTAACATGTACCTTTAGACTCTTACGAGTTATGTGACCAAAACAAGATGATGAATTATGGTGATGTGGCAAAATGTTTTGTGCAACTGTTCATAATTTGAATAGACCCAGGTGAACTTTAATTTAATCTAGAAACACCAATAATAGCAACAGAAATGAAAGGTCTTAATTGAAATTTGAAGATGACTTATTTACCTTCAGGCCAGTTGATAGCTTTCCACAAAATCTGAAGTTGCTGGACTGTGGGTTTTTCTGAAGCATTATTACAAATTACAGACAGTATCTTTTCAAGAAGCACCAAGTCATCTTCAGTTAACTTCTTCTCTTCAGGTGCGGTGCCATTCAGTTCCTTCAGTTTCCCTATTATCAAAACCAACCTTTCAAAATCCTTTAATTGAAGTTTAGCCAAAGAATACACAAGACAACATTTTAAGTAAGAATACTCTGCTGCACATTAACACTTTTCTTGGAAATTATCAAAGTCCATAAAGTTTATGAGTATTTGTTTAGCTCAGCATTTATTTGTACAGTGAAAGATTATTGTACTGATTTTCGTTTTATTTACTATTTTCCAAAACCTTCAGACACTGTTTTAGAATCATTCTGAATGTTTTTTTAAAGCAACAGCAATATATAAAAGTATGTCATCTATTTCCCTAGCATTTATTTTTAATTAAAATAAGAATTTAAGTTTTGGCACGTTTGTGTGTTGTATGGTGTGAGTGCTGCCGCACAGACCCCATGGTGGACATGTGGAGGTCAGGACAACTTCAGGAGTCCACTCTCTCCTTCCACCATGTGGGTTCCAGGGATCAAACTCAAGTCATCAAGCTTACAGCAAGTGCTTTTTACCTGCTGAGTCATCTTGCCAGTCCCAAATTTATAAATTTTTAACAATCACTAATGGAACCTGGGACTGGTTTCACCACTCTTTGTCATTAAAGCTCTTAACACCAACAAACTATTGAAAACAAAATTTAAGCAATGTAAAAAAATCAAAAAAACCCCTCAGATTTATACAAGAGTTAACAAATGCCTAAAAATGTGCTTATACTTTCTTAGCTCAAAATTACCTATCAATATCTGTAACAACAACATTAAGAACTGTTATGAGCCCCCCTCTCCCCCCAATTTCTGCCTTATACCTAGGTATGAATGTTCTATTAATTCTTAATACCACCTTTGGGGCAAAAGGAGAAAGTAATTCTCCAAAGTCCAAAAAAGTCCCCTTCACTTCAATTTGAGAAAAAAATAACAGGAAAACCAATCAAAGTCAATTGAGTAGTCCCTCCCTCCCTCTGTCCCCAGCGCCTCCC